GTGGTAACGGAAATTTCGCCGTTACATATAGTGAAAAGTGTTAGCTAGACGGAAAAAGTGGTAACTGATATTCGCAGTTAGAAAAGTATTAAATTCAACCAATTTTAGTTGATTAATAGCTGCTAGTCAGTAGTGTTAAAAAACCAGCTACTACCAATAGATATTTTTGATACTACCAATAGAAATTTGTTACTTCGAATAGATATTCGAAATTACCAATAGATATATTTAAAAATACCAATAGAAATTTGTTACTGCCAATAGATATTTGATATTACCAATAGATATTTTGAAAATACGAATAGAAATTTTAAAAACCAATAGTAATTTGAATATTACCGCACATTTTAATTAAATCTGTTTTGAAATATATAGTGAACAACAAATAGTGAACAACCGTGTTTCAATAAATAAATAGTTATAATATTTCGCGACTAATTAATCAGTCGAACCGCTGGCCACTCCCTTGCTGTTATAATTTAAAAATCGTGCATTTTTAATTCTGAACCTCAGTCCACAGTTCTCCAACAGCATACACAAAGGCGGTAGTGAAAGTATCCTCCGGAACCTATAGGTGTAGGACGTGAGCGGCTCGCGGAGTATCTTCGACAACATTTACTCCGGAGAGTTACGCCCGTCCGGCACAATATTATTGATACCTGCTCAACGCAGAATATATGGAAGTTCTTACGCTACCTGGGCTTTGGTAAAAACAAAACGAAAGTTAGTCGTTCGCTCGACTTATCAGCGCTCAACAAATACTTTTGTTCTTTGCCTATATGACTATATGTGACTGATCGTGAAGTAAAAAATATTGTATCCGTCATATCCAGTAAATTTGTTAACCCAGATGGTATTCGACGTGACATGGTTATGCCGATTTTAGACCTAATAGTTTCCCACATCACACATCTAATAAGTTTTTCCTTTGCCCTTTTCTACTACCTTCCCTACCAAGTAAAAGGAAGCGTTCCTAATTCCTGTACCCAATAGTAGGTCTTCTACTAATTTTATTTACAGGCTACAGGTCTATTCTCTCATTTTCTTCCGAAATTCCTTTTTAATCCTTTTTATTCTAATTTCCGACCACTGCACAGTACTTTTTTTTTTATAGGAGAGGGGGCAAACGAGCATGCGGCTCACCTGATGGTAAGTGACTACCGCCGCCCATGAACAACTGCAACACCAGGGGAATCGCAGATGCGTTGCCGGCCTTTTAAAAAGGAGTACGCTCTTTTCTTGAAGCTCCCTAAGTCGTATCGGTCCGGAAAAATCGCTGATGGTAATCGATTCCACAAGGAGGTCGTGCGAGGAAGAAAACATCTTCTAAATCGCACAGTGGTGGACCGCCAATCATCCAGATGGTGTGGATGGTATCGGGAGTTCTGCCGCGATGTGCGTTCGTGAAATTTGGCGGCTGGGATTAATCCGAACAGTTCCTCAGAGCACTCCCCATGGTAGATGCGAAAGAAAATGCAAAGGGATGCAAAATCTCTTCGCAGTGCCAATGAATCGAGCCGATCGGAAAGGGCTCGGTCGTCGACAATTCGAGCCGCTCTGCGTTGGATGCGGTCAAGTGGAAGGAGCTGGCACTGGGGAGCCCCTGCCCAGAGATGGGAACAGTATTCCATGTGAGGCCGAACTTGCGCCTTGTAAAGTAGCAGGCGGTGTGCCGGCATGAAATACTGTCCCGCTCTGCTGAGCACGTCAAGCTTTTTAGAGGCCAATTTGGCCTTCCCTTCCAAGTGACCACGAAACTGCACGTCACTCGATATGTCGACTCCGAGGATACCGATACTGGCTGAGGCAAGAAGGGGAGTACCTTGAAACTGAGGAGATACGACAAAGGGGTTCTTTTTAGCGGTAAACGCGCAAACTTGTGTCTTCTGAGGATTAAATTGGACTAGATTTAGTCGCCCCCCAATCCGAGACTTTGTTCAGACTTTGTTCCACGGCCCTAATTAATTAGCGAATGGTGAGTATAGACACTAACCATACGCTGGTTTTTTGTGAGAGCGTGGTCCTTCCCCGGTAGAGCCGACCCATTCATACCACAAATATACTACTAATATAGCTGCAGCATGGCTCTACCAAGCTCTACTTAACATAACATAACATCTTTCAAGCGATTCTAAACTACCGTGAAAACATCGCTCGCTTATTTTTTATCACGAGCAATAATATAATGGTTTATCACGAGTTATCATCTGTAAAATCAGATTTTGTTACTAGAATATAAAGACTGTGTGTGACTGATGTGTCAAGATTGTGCCAAATGGAAGTTCATAGTCTCTGCCTACCCCTCTGGGTGAGAAGGGTGAGTGTTTATGTATGTAAAATAAAGACGTCAAACATTGTGTACAGAGAAGCTTTAAACTACTAACAAAATAAATGTCATAACATAAAAAACAAAAAGCACCGTGACCGTTATCTTGTAGTGTCGTTGTTAGAATATCCACTAATACCCCATATCATCCCGTGGGTGTCGTAAGAGGCGACAGAGGGAAACAAATCAAGTGATGGGCAGCAGCGTCTTCCTAATAACGACTGAAAATAAAAAACTGCGGTTGCAACGCGCTTACCAATCGTGGCTACTATCGCAAATATCACCCATATGAGGCAATCTATGGGGGCCTATGTTCAGCAGTGGAATTTAATAGACTGTAAGGGTAACGGATCAGAAAGAGGAATCCTGCTAATCGAAAAAAAAACGACCGATGGGAATCGTACGAAGAACCCAACGGCGTTGTGTTTCTTTAGGCACGCGAAAGATTCACATCCAATTTCCTGACCCAGGCTGCTCCTGAGAATTTCTTGTCAGAAAAATCTAATAACTGATTTTGGCCAGACCGGGGATTCGATCCAAGACCACATGATGAGAAGTCGCGCTTACGGCGACTAGACTAACAATTCTGTCAATTAAATCAATATTCACGATTCATTTGTATAAAATAAAGTTTTTAAGAGAGAGTTCTTTTTTTTAAGAGATATTTCCGAGGCGCTTTTAAAATTTGTGTTGGTGGGCTTCAAAAATAATATTTCATGTAGTGGACTACTACCATACTACTACTGTATGACGGCTCCGTGGCGCAGTGGCTTAGCAATGAGTTGCTGCGATGGGGGGGCGCGGGTTCGAATCCTGCACGGAACAAGTATTTGTATGGCCTACAAATGATTGTTCCGGGTCTGGATGTTTGTCCTTGTGAAATTTGTGTTTGTAAACTGCCTCTACGATACAGGAGAAAATCCTAGTGTGGGGGTAACGTTTTAAAAAAAATATTTTGAGCATGTATTACGCAAAACCATTAATCATGATCAGTGGTCATAATTGCTTTTTGCCGTTGTAATAAAAAAATAATTAGCACTTAATTTAATCACTAATTAGTTCGTTTAGTATAAATTTGGGAACAAATGCAATACAATTATCATTTTAAAAATCATCTGCAAAGCTCTACTTGCTCGATAAGAAAAATGTTTTTCTTTATTTCAATTGCCGCTGCATTATGTGCGATTTCTGGTAAGTACTGATATTTGAAATTTATAAATGATTTTTCCGATTATTTTTTTCGATGACTATAAATATGATTTTTCATACTACATTTGTAGTAATAGGAGAAATCATCTAGCTAGACGGATTTGACTATCATAGTACTAAATAACTCACGCTGTGGACAAACATTTCTTATTGTCGTTCACCACAGCAACAACTAACAAAATATATTTTATTTTAAAGGCGCTACACAAATTCAAACTCAAGACGCTGCTCTTGAAGATATAGTTTGTAAGGAATACAATATCTACTACAAGATAAAAGGCAGCTGCGACTCATAATATGTAGAATGCACCGTAAGTTTCTGTGTTTTTATTATAGTTTTATTTACATTTTTTAACATTAAATTATTTTGATAATAACTGTTATCAGTCTGCTATAGTTACTGTTATATAACTGTTGAGAGTAACTCTCTTCAAATGGTAGGATTTCGCGTAATCGCCACTTATCGCATTAAAGGCGATACCTTTCACCTATTTTATGAATATTTGAAGATTGTGTGATTATTCCGCCACCTTTCAGATTTTTCTTACAATACTTTGCGAATTTTCTGACTATTTTCTTAAACGATTCTTATGACATCCAGGGAAATAAGTTTCTTTTTTTATATACTTTAATTAGAATGGCAAACATGACAGTCCACCTGAGGGTAAGTGGGTTCAGTTGCCCATAGGTAATTACATCTACATATACTTAAATATTAAAATACAGAAGCATATATCCCTGAGTACAACGATGGAATGCCTAGTTACCAGCATTATGTTGCTATTGAAGTTTCTCTTTATCTGCTTTCTTCTTTATTCTGTAAGAGCGTAGTTCTTTCCTGTTCAAGTCATTTGAATGGCGAGTTCTTTCTCGTACATGGTGCACACGGAGTGATTTTTTCGACGTGCCTATATTATACCAAAATAATTTAACACTCAATCTATCATCACTACAACTGAAGAGCTGGTAAAAAGTACTTAATTTACCTTTCATTACGTTTACTAGGCTTACAAAGCGACCTACAAGACTTGTCCTGATGGCATGTACTTCATCCGTGATGTGGAATGGCCCACGTACCCTTGTGCTTACCCATCCGACGCGCAATGTGATGACGATGATGCACCTCGTAAGTATCCCCACTAACATTCATCATCACTTATCAAGGTCTTTGACCGCCTAACGAATGAAATTACAAACTGAAGTCACAGAGCATGGAATAGCCATACCGCCAAGCTAACGGCGCAGATATCCTGTGCTTTGTGATTTAGAAATTCGTTATAAATTATTAATAGATTTTCAGTCACCATTTTACGAAACACGAAAATCTGCAAGTACTCTAATTTGCAAGTAGCTTGCTATATTTATTATTTTTTTCAACAGAGCAAGCCCATCACAAGATTGCAAGAACCAGTACGGATTCTTCGCGTCACCATTAGCGACTCGCTCCGATTGTGGCAAATACCGAATGTGTGTGGCGGGTAAAGCGTTCGAAATGGAGTGCTCAATGGGTCTTGCCTTCAACCCAGAGACTGGCCGCTGCGACTGGCCTGATCTTGTAGCTAGCTGCAACGCTGACGGTACCTACAACTTTCCACAAATTTAATGCAATAACAACCATTTATTTGCGGATTGGTAATAAATATTTATTTCCAAATTTCAGAATTTCTTGGCTTCAAATGTCCTCCTGCAACTTACGATGAATTTGGCAAGGCTTACGTAGTCAATTTCAGGTAATATTAATTTTGCTTTTTAACTGTATGCATTTTAAAACTGAAAGAAAGATTAAAATGCTAAGTTGCATTTATTATTACTAAGTTTATTTATTACTGTCTATAAGAGTAAGAGGGACTCTTATACGTAGTAAATAATAATAACAATATGTAATACTTATACAATTACATATATTTATTTTACAGCATCGCTGGTAGCTGCCACTACTTCTTCTCTTGTATGGAGAATGTAGCGCGGCTGTTGCTCTGTGACTCCGGCTTTCTGTTCGACTCTACTGTTAACCGCTGCGTGGACGCTACTCGTGTCGAGTGCCATGAAGGACGTTGATGCGAAAATTTAATATTTTAAACAAATCTTATTTATTAAATAATTTCGTAATAAAAAATAAAATAACAACAATCACATAATTTTCTTTGTTTAAAACCTTTGTGTTCATTTAAACGTTCAAAACTTATATTTGAATGCATTTTTAATTTCAACTGCGACGGCATCTAGCATATACTAAAATAACTATCTATCAACATAAGTTTGTTAATATGTTAAGTACTGTAAGTCAAAATGGTTAAATAGAATAGGATAGTAAAAAAGGGATTGACAGTCCCTATTAGAAATGGAAGGAGGCCTGTGCCCAGTAGTGTAACGTATTAGGATGTAACTCACTATAATAAATAGATAATATATTCATAATAGTCATTGAGTTATATGTACTACGTACTAGAGAAGCCATTCCAAACAAAATTGTGTCCTACTCTATGTCTTTGCGCATGCGCGGGAGTAGTAGTCGCGCATGGGCGAAGACTTTAATTTGATATAAAATAAGATACTTATATAAAATAAATATAAGAATTTAATATAAAATATCTTAATTTAATCTAAACAAACATATTATATTTCTAAATAAAATGTAATAATAATTATTTTATGGAATTCACAAATCTTCAATTTACGCAATATTTAGTTTGTATGGATTGCACTACAGTTCAGTTGAACATAGTCTATGTTCGGAATGGCTTCTCTAGTACGTAATACATATAACTCAATGATCATAGTGTGATTACTAGTAATATGGTTCTTAAGCTTTGCCGTCCTAAAAAACCAAAACTAGGAGGAGGACAAAGACAAAAACACAAGGTCTTATTCCATAATTAGGTACTATATTAAGAGAAAAATAGCAAACAAGCTTTGGCAATAGAATAGATTAGAATAGAATAATTTTTATTCAATATAGATTATTACATAATACTTATTGAAAGTAATTTTTTTTATCTACCACTGATTCGGGAAATACCTCTGCTCTGGGATGAACCAGTAAGAAACCCAGAGGGACTTTTTTTAAACATTATTCACTTTACAATAATTTTGTTACTTTGTTTGTAAAAATTTTAAATTAATTTTAACCAGCATCTGATAGCCCATCATTCCCAGGGTTGTTTTTTTTTCACTTATTTACTTAACCGTCCATCCTGCTGGAGTGATTCTCGCCTGACTTACCCGCGCATTAAATGTCACTATTTTTTACGACCGCGCGAGACTGTCTTAACAAAAACGATTACCACTGAAAAACTTCTATAGTTACATTCAAATAAAAAATATTCTCAAAAGACCCAAAGAATTCAAAAGAACCATGCGCACTTTTCATACATTTAAAAACCTGATAGTAAAAGTTTATGTATAGTTATAAGGTATAGTAGAAAAACTTTCTGTAAGTTTAGAAAATAATGTCAAGTAGTCATTTTTACGATTTAAACGCTACGAAGCCCAAAATATTAATGTTACCCTTTAGGTTAGGATTTGCCGTTACCAAATACTTAATTTTTCTATCTCTTATTAATGTTCTATCACCACTTCCTCTGAGATTATACTGAGAAAAATCTTGTGTATCCCTACACATTTCTATTCTATATGATCCATGAAAAACCCACAAAATGGCACAATACACAACGAGACGCAAACGCAACAAGTGATTATATTCTCTTTGGCAACAACGAAGGACTGCGCCGATGCCGTAGAGAGAGAATAATTATGTAAAATTGTACATACTCCCTGCTAATTGTAGAACTGTCAAATATCAAAAACTAAAAATTACATACTGCATGATTAATTTATTTAATTATTATGTTATTTTTAATTAATCTGTACTAAACAAAGAGTAATAATGTAATACTTACTGATTAAATAAAACAAAATAATGTTTAAAACTCAGAAACAGAGTTCAATTAAACAAGTACATACTCCCTGCTATACATAGGTGAAAAATGGACATCACTCTTTTATTTTGTTAAAAGAAAATTAGTCAAATTAAAAAAAAGGCTGAAAATAAAGCCTAAAAATGGGAATATCAAAAAAAATCGTATTTATTTTTTATTTCGAGTTTTAGAAGAAAATCTCAACAGATATTTCGTTTATAAATTGCTATCAACGTGTTAATAGTGAATCGTTCTTTTATATTTAGCATTCATTTAATACAAAAACTGATTAGAATACATTTTAAACAACGTATTATAATCAATAAACGATGATCGCGTATAGTGATTAAAATTTCGAGCTAAATTATTATATAGAAACGTTTTGGAATTGTCGTAATGATACATATTTACTAAAGAAAATATATTCACAACTAGCTGTGCCCGCGGCGTAGCTCGCGAATATAGGTTTTACTTAAAGAATTTGACGTTTAGGGTAAGAGAATATTAACCGATTTATATCATTACTCTATGAATAAGTGGTAACAAAATAAATTGATATTCTCAAAGTTCTAAGTCGTTTATGATAGAGCTTCTGTGTAAACGACGATAGAAGTAGACTTAGCCGGGGCGTACAGAAAAAGGTTACGGGGACTACTAACGCGAGAAAAAGCAATATAGAGCTGGCCATGTGCAAAACAATCAGTACTGACGCGTAAAGTTTGACCTTGCGCTTTATTTACGATCGTCGCATAACACACGCTGAGTGGGAAACACACTTAAAATAGGGATGTTAGATGATCATCGATGTTAAAAATTAAAACTTCGATGTTTTAACATCGATGTTGACATATGTCAAACATCGAAACATCGACGTCAATGAACCCATAATCGATAATTGGGAACTTGCAAACAATGCGAACTCGCGAAATCAATATCAACTAAATCTTGCATCTGCTCTGAAGATTAAAAATTTTGAATAATTCAGAATTTCTGAACGCATCGTTCATCTGAAAAAATGTCAGTATGGTGAGTCAAACTTAATTGTCAAGTGTCTCCTGTAATGTCACAATGGTCACTGCTTTCGCTTTATTTTGTAGTGTCGTTGTCGGTTGTCGCATAATAACTATTCTACGTAAATTGATATTCAAGTTAATTGTTACTTTTCCCTTGCTGTGTATACCCACATAATTTTAAAACAATGTGTAACTATCTACACATATACAAAAACCATCGATAATGGTCAACATCAATGTTTTGAGTGGCTTAAACATCGAACATCGATGTTGAGCTAGCGATGCCAACATCGATGTTATTATCCCTATCTTAAAACTGAAGCCTGAGCCGTGGTAGCTCAGATGGTTAGCGCTCGCTGTAAGCTTCACAGTACTCGAGCAACCCGGGTTCGATCCCCGCCGGCACCAATGAAATTGTCAATTGCAATTTTAAGTGCTGATTTACCACGTGCTCGGCGGTGAAGGAAAAAATCGTGAGGAAACCTGCATGTTTGAGAAATAAAAAATAATATTTCGATGACATGTGAAGTTCGCCAACACGTATTGGGGCAGCGCGGTGGACATTTCCTTGCCCTAAAACCCTCTCAGAAATGAGAGGAGGCCTGTGCCCAGCAGTGGGACGTAAATAGGCTGCAACTTTACTTTACTTAAAACTGAAAAAAAAGTTATTTGGTATTAGAGTGATTCTGGCTATAAAACAATATCACCATCACGACATTTATTGCGATTTTGCTACTTTTAGTTTTAGTCGAGTTTTGTTGAATAATTAAATATTTCAATACCTCTGTATATATACCTTACAGGCTTGCAGCTTCGTATGGCTCATGGCCATAAATTATTACAGTGAGTCTCAATACGATTCACCTGCGTAAAATCTTAACACCGCAATTCAGAAAAGGTTGTAATTTGTACAACGCCATCTATTACGTTCTTTGTGAGAAAACATCCTTTTTTAATTTAAGGAAAACATATTTTTACTGTGTTTTAAGTACTATAATAGAACGATACTAAATATATTATAATAGAACGTTTTTTTTCACACGAATCTTTTTATTACTATTTTTGGGATTTTGTGGCGCCATTAAACAAATTCGAACCTACATTTCAAAATAATAATCATGACTTTCGATAGAATTAACCAATTTCAATAAAACAAAGATTAAATGAACTTGATAATACGCTTTATGATTTTCTTAAGGATTTCATTGAAAAAAAAGATGTTTACTCAAAACGTCATGCGTCCATAAACAAACAGACAGACCGTCAGATAGTACAATTCTAAAAATTATAAAAATGTACTTATTTAATGATTTACAGTCCCAATAATGATTTTAGTCGCAAATTAATATACTATACAATATTCAGAAACAGACATAACATGTTATTACCATTTTTATTATATGTATAGATTTAAGAGAGATGGCGCTGTTAACATCAATTCTAAAAATAAGAGATTAATTCACACGATTGATACAATAAAAAACATAAAAGAACTTATAAATCAGTGCCTGCATAGTAAGCAAAAAAGAAAGTTTGATCCTCGCCGAAAAATGAAATTGTTAATAGCTCTTAAAATTTGATTTACCACATAGAGTACTCGGCGGTAAAAAAATAAAAAATAAATGAGATTGTCAACACGCAGTAGGGCAGCGTGTCATTAATATAAAGGTTAGAAGCAAATATGAAACTCAACTACAGGAATAAATTTTAACCTGCCTTTTTGTATCACATTTATGCCACACCACCATCTATCGAAGAAATGGGTTAACTATTGTGCTTCAGATTTAGTTAATAAGGTTAATATATTTTTGTATAATATATTTAATACGTTCTTTAATACTTTTGTTTACTGCGTTTTAGATATACATAATTATATCATTATTTTACATAATTTAACTATGATTTATGATATGATATTAGTTTAAAATGCACTTGATGACTCAAACAAAGCCACCGTTGAGCAAATTCGTACCTATACTTCCCTACCCATACTTCAGAATATTTATCATAACTTTTGATGGAATGAACTGATTTTAATGAAATAAAGACTAAATGTAACCCGAAGATACACTTTATAATTTCCTTAACAATTCTTATGACATAAATTAGTACTTTATACGTGATACGT